TCGGGCGGCGGCTCCTCGGGAAGGGCGAGCGTCCTCAGACCGCCGCCTGCCGCGTCCCGCCTGGTTGAGGTCCGGGGGGCGACCGGTCGCAGCCAGAGGATAGGGGCTCCCGGGCTCGAAGCCCTACTGGGGACGGGGGTTGTCAGCGCGGCCCGGGAGCCCTGCGGGGCCGCCAGCCGCCGGCGCTGGGACAAAGCGCCGGATGGGGCGGGAGACGGGATCCAGCCCCACCGGAGGCTCCCGGCGCCGGGCGCGCTCCGCGCGGGGCGTGCGCGGCGGCTCGGACGCGAAGGACGGGCCCGCGGCACGGCCGCCTCCCGCTGCGCTCTGGCTGGGTGCGCGGGGCGGAGGGGTTTCGCCTCCTGCCCGCACCGCGTGCCCCCATCTAAGCTACCCCTTTTACCCCGGACCGTTTCCACACCAAATCCTGTGTGGAATTGGGCTGGACAAGCACTTCCTCTCAGCCTCGCAGCTGGGCTCATGGGTCTGCGCCCAGGACTTTGCCTCTGGGCCTGTTCACAAAGCGTATAAAAGTTGATTTTAATGTAACTGAACTCCTTGGGCTTAAATGCACGGAGACTTCCCCTTACTCCTCTGTTCTCCTTCCCCTTCCTCATTCTTTCCACCCCTTCTCTTAGCTCTGTATTAGATTCTTCTTTGAGAATTTCTCAGGCTCCCTGTGGAGTATTTTTCTGCAGTTATTGTTTTTTTGTAATGGGAAGTACAGTTCAGCCATGTACAGGAAAGGAACGTGTTTACTCAGGTATCTTTCGTGAATCCTATTTTATGCCCTGACAGTTGCAAGTACCGCAGTTCATTTTCTTTGAGATTTAGACTTAAGAGGGTAATTTTATAGCTAGTAAGGAGTGTATCTTAAATTCTTATTGCTAAGTGTCTCAAGTGTGGTCTTGGTTAGTAATCAAATCAGTTCATAGTTATTAATGTCTTGAATGTACCTTGTTTTCCATAAAGAATGTATATACTAGACCTTAGGTGTTTTGTTTTTTAAACATCTTTATTGAGCTCACATTCTGTACCAGTATACCCATTTAAGGTATACTACAATTCAGAGATTTTTCATATATTCATAAAGTTGTGCAAACATCACCACCTCAATTTTAGAACAATTTCATCATCCCAGAAAGAATCCCTAGCCCCATTAGCAGTCACTCCCCATTTCCCCCTACCCCAGGCCTAGGCAACTAATGTATTTTCTGCCTCTCTAACTTTGTCTAGTCTAGACATATCCCAAAAAAGGGGCCATTGTGACTAGGTTCTTTCACTGAGCATAATGTTCTCAAAGTCTATCCATGATGTGCCATGTATCAGTACTAATTCCTTTTTATGGCCAAATAATATTCCATTTCATATTTTATTAATATTTATCCAATTAGTGATGGACATCTGGTTGTTCCCACTTTTTGGTTATGAATCATGCTGCCATGAACATTTTTGTGCAAGTTTTTGTGTGAACATGTTTTCATTTCTTTGGGGAATGCGATTCCTGGGTCAAATTGTAGATCTATTTGTAATATTTTGAGGAACTGCCAGACTATTCTGAAGTGGTTGTAGCATTTTACAATCCTACCAGCGATATCTGAGGGTTCCTCTCCACATGGTCACCAACACTTGTTATTTGTCCTTTTTATTATAATATCCTAGTGGGTGAACGTGAAGTCGTAGTAGTATTTTCTTACGGTTTGGTTTGCATTTCTCTGATAGCTAATGATGTCAAACATCTTTTCATGTGCTTATTGCCTATTTTACGTTTTTTTTGGAGAAATGTCTGTTTAGAGTAAAAATTGGGTTGTCTTTTTGTAATTGAGTTCTAAGAGTTTTTTTTTTTTTTTTTTAATATTCTGGATACACATCTTATCTGATACATGATGTGCAAACATTTTCTCCCATTCTGTGGGTTACCTTTACATTTTCTTGATCCTGTTCTTTGAAGTAACACGTTACGTTTTTAATTTTCATGAAGTCTTGGTGAAGTCCATCTTATCTATTGTTTCTATTACTTGTGCTTTTATTGGATCTGGGAAGCCTTTGCCTAATTCAAAAATTACTCCTGTGTTTTCCTGTAAGGGTTTTATAGTTTTAGTTCTTCTAGTTAGGTCTGTGATCTGTGTTTGAAGTTAATTTTTGCGTATGGCGCAAGGAAAGGGTAAAACTTCATTATTTTGCATTTGTATATCCAGTTGTCCCAGTACCATTTGTTGAAAAGGCTCATCTTTCCCCATTGAATTGTCGTGGTACCATTATGAGATATCAATCAACCAGAAATGTATGGATTTATTTCTGAGTTTTCATTTCTATTCCATTGTCCTTGTGATAGCCAATACCACACAGTTTGGATTGCTATCGTTTGGATTACAAATTTGTTTTGTTTAGCAAATTTGGAATCAGGAAGTATGCACCCTCCAGCTTTTTTCTTCTTTTTTCAGGATTATTTTGACTACCCTGGGTTCTTTGCATTTCCACATGAGTTGTAGAATTAGCCTGTCAGTTTTAGGCATTAGGTTTTACAATGGCAATTTATAAAATGTTTATAAAGAACATTTAAAAATTGACGTTCTTATGAATGTTTTGCATATTTTTTGATGCATGAATTTTTTTTAAGTTGCTAGCTTAATTCCAAATTGCATCTTCACATTTAAAAAAAGTTATGTTTCATTTTCTATTAATTGAGCTTTGAGCATAGCCTTGTTTAATGTTTTTAGCTAATATGAATAATACTTCTCTGAGTATCTTTGTATATATTTTTATGTGCTTCTTTCTTATTCTTGTTAAAAGAGGAACGTAAATAAACTTGAATGTTTGAATTCTGGAGAGACCTCCAAATCTATTTATGTTCTAGTTTTTGCCTTCACTTGCCCTTTTGAAAATAAATTGCTAATAGATTGCATTTTATTTTATTTCCTGGCCTGGAATTGGGGATGAGAGGAGGCTGAATGAGCTAGGAAGGTCCAGAAATTAACTAACTTCTGAGAATTTGATTGTTGTTTTAGGTTGGACATGGTGGTTCATGTCTGTAACCTCAGCACTTTGGGAGTTTGAGGCAGGGCGTTGGATTGAGCCCAAGAGTTGGAGACCAACCTGGGCAACACAGTAGACATTATCTCTACAGAATTTTTAAAAAATCAGCCAGGTGTGTTGGCGTATACCTGTAGTCCCAGCTACTTGGAAGGCCAAGGCAGGAGGATTGCCTGAGCCCAGGAGTTCAAGGTTGTGGTAAATTATGATCAGTCACTGTATTCCAGCCTGGCCAACAGAGTGAGACGCTGTCTCAAAAACAGAAAACAAAAAGTCACATATTCAGAATCATTTATAAAATAACCTCTTAAAATAGATATTAATTTAACTTTTCCCTCTAGCGTTAAAATGGCACTATTAAAAGGAAATAAAATTGTCAAAATTCAAAACATCACGTTCTACATGATAAATACGTATGATTTTTATCAATTAAAAACTTGTCAGAGTGAGGTAATGGGAACCTTTGATGTTTTAGGTTTCTTTCTTTCTTTCTTTCTTTTCTTTCTTTCCTTTCTTTTCTTTCTTTTCTTTCTTTCTTTCTTTTTCTTTTTTTTTTTTTTTTTTTTGAGACGGAGTTTCGCTCTTGTTACCCAGCCTGGAGTGCAATGGCGCGATCTCGGCTCACCGCAACCTCTGCCTCCTGGGTTCAGGCAATTCTCCTGCCTCAGCCTCCTGAGTAGCTGGGATTACAGGCACGCGCCACCATGCCCAGATAATGTTTTTTGTATTTTTAGTAGAGACGGGGTTTCACCATGTTGACCAGGATGGTCTCAATTTCTTGACCTCGTGATCCACCTGCCTCGGCCTCCCAAAGTGCTGGGATTACAGGCTTGAGCCACCGTGCCCGGCCCTTTCTTTCTTTTTTTGAGATGGCGTCCTACACTGTGTCTCAGGCTGGAGTGCAGTGGCATGATTTTGGCTCATTGCAACCTCGCCTCCTGGGTTCAAGTGATTCTCCTGCCTCAACCTCCCGAATAGCGGGGATTACAGGCGGCCACCACCACTCCCAGCTAATTTTTAAAATTTTTAGTAGAGACGGGATTTCGCTATGTTGGCCAGGCTGATATCGAACTGACCTGGTGATCCACCTGCCTCAGCCTCCCAAAGTTCAGGGATTACAGGTGTGAGCCACTCCGCCTGGCTTAGGTTTCCTCCCCTCCCCTCTCTTCCTCTCTCTTCCTCTCTCTCTTTCTCTCTTCTTCCCTTTCCTTCCTTTCTGTTGCAGTCTTGCCGTGTTCCCAGGCTGGCATGCAGTGGCATGAGCACAGCTCACTGCAGCTTCGATCACCCAACCTCAAATGGTCCTCCCACCTCAGCCTTCTGAGAAGGTGGGACCACAGTTACAGGCCACCACACCCAGCTAATTTTTAAATTATTTGTAGAGATGAGACCTCACTATGTTGCCCAGGCTGGTCTCGAACTCCTCGGCTCAAGCTATGCTCCCGCTCTAGCTTCTCAAAGTGCTGGGATTACAGGGTTGAGCCACTGTGCCCAACCAAAGTTTTAGGTTTCTAACCAAACAACATATTAATTGTTTCCCTCCTCCCACATATATAAAGACAAACCTTTTGTTGTGACATTTCCTTAGAAGAAAGTTTGAATCATTGAAACTCTCTTCAAGCTCTTTTCAAAGTAGCACATTCTTCCTTTTTCTTTAAAGTATAGGTTTTCTTAATTGAAACTATATGCTACATTGAAAATTCCTTTACTTAATACTGTTCTTTTGAAGGAAAAAATTATTCAGAACTTTTTAAGTACAGGTGTTTTGTTGTTGATAAGTCAGTGTTTGCCACAAAGTATAGCACCATTGATAAGCTGATTTTTTTCTGTTAAAATTGGACAGCAAAAATAATTTTGATAATAGAAATTCACACCATTGCTTTTAATATTTAAAAATAATTGTTGGCCCCTTCAAAAGATTATATAACTTTAAAAAGATAGTGATCAATATTACAGTGAGGGAGTGTCTCTCTATGCTGCTTCTTTCTCAAAGGCATAATTGAGTACAAGTTTATAACAGTCTTGAGATTATTGCAACATTACAATATAATTAAAATGGCATTATATTTTTATGTGAACCCAGATTATTTAATTCCACAAAAAACCTTAAAGGAATGCATTTTACACGTAATTATTACTTAAGGGGGGGACAAATAAGTATGTAAAACGTACTGAGTTGAATACCTTATAATCCTCATTTACATAGTAATCCCAATCTATGTATAATATGAAGCATTTGCCCAAAGACACTAAGTAATAGTATTTGGTATATGTTACATTGTAATGAGCTGACATTTTTAGTTAGGTGACTTTTTCCAGAGGTTATCTGTAGTCGGCACATCAGAAATCAACAAGCACCAATTATCTTAGTTATTTTTATCCTGAAGTTTTTCCTTATTTCTTTTACTGTTTAACTGCACTGAAGTCTATTTTCACTTGATTTCATTGGTTTTGTTTATATTTTGATTTAAAATTAAATTGGAGCATTGGTTATATATCCAAAATTTGATTTGTCATTTCTTGGTTAAGATGAGAGAATTAAAATGTGTTTTAAAAATCTGGAATTGCTATTAATAGGTCTTTGGGATACAAAGCATTATTATATTTTTGTTTGGCTATCTAATCTAAATTTGGTATCCTAGGTGAGAGACTAACACATTCTTTGGGGTTATATATCCATGTGAGATTTAAAAATATATATCTTTTTTGTTTGTTTTTAAATTTTTATTTATTTATTTATTTATTTTTTGTTTTCTTTTGTTTGTTTGTTTTTGAGATAGTCTCACTCTGTCGCCCAGGCTGGAGTGCAGTGGCGCCATCTTGGCTGACTGCAACCTCTGCCTCCTGGGTTCAAGTGATTCTCCTGCCTCAGCCTCCCAAGTAGCTGGGATTACAGGCACCCACCACCACACCTAGCTAATTTTTGTATTTTTAGTAGAGATGGGGTTTCACCACGTTGGCCATGATGGTTTCAATCTCTTGACCTCGTCATCCGCCTGCCTTGGCCTCCCAAAGTGCTGCAATTACAGGCGTGAGCCACTGCACCAGGCCAAAAATATATATCTTTAGAAAATTAGTTGAGGTGACCATATTTGAAATGCAGAATATAGGCTTTTGATTGCTTGAAATTTCCAAATATTATAGTTTGGGATACCTGCTTTTAGGATATGATCCCATCAGATGACGTACCAAAACAAAATCTGTATTTCTGTATATATTTACTTTATACATTAACAGATTTGCAAATTTTACCTGGTTTAATATTTAAAAGATACAAGAGGGAGTAAGTCTTCCTCTTTTTCTCTGGTGATCAAGATCTCCCTAAAGGCAATCATCATTACCAATTTCTTATGTGGTTTTCCAGAGTTAAGACCAAATAACATATACTTTAGTAGGTTAAAATATATTATTGTATAACTATTAGCAAGTTAGCCAGGTCCAGCTTGTTCCCATTGCAACAAGCTATGAAAATGAAGACTACAGATGCATTTAAGTTGTTTCAGAAGATTTGACAGTAGAGATTATAAAATTATAGTGTTTTAGATTGCAGTAAATTTTATTGTGAGGCCCTTAGACTTTTTAAAGGGATGTGATTTGTTTGTTTTATATTTTTGCCTTAATTACAGGAGAAATTTGGAAGTGAAAAATTGATACTGATTTAGTGTGTATATTTCAGTTCAGCGGAAGGATTTTAGGACTTTGACATTGGGAAGGATATAATTTGATGTCTGCATTCTTTTTTAGCCCTGCACACTAAGTAATCCTTTCAGAACTATTTAAATTATTTAAGCAAAGGACGAGGGACAGTTATGTACAGGATGATTTAACTGCTTGAAATCATCATGCACATTTTGCTAATATAAGCCCTTTGAAAGTAGTTTTTTGAGTCATGGAGGCGTCTCCTGAGATTATCCATCCTGATGTCATAATTCTAGAACAGTTAACAGAAGCACCCTTAGAAATTCAAATGGAAATAGGATCCCATGGAGACTTATAAAGGAAAGGAAATAAGGACTTGGCTTTCAGTTTTCTTAGTGTGGAAAAATTAAAGAATATTAGAGTTGGAGGAATTTTAGTAGCAATCTGGTCCAAAAAGATAAGTATGAATTGCTCTAATGTGGGGAGAAACAAAAACAACAGCGTGACAGCAACTGAGACCTGTTATGATATCTACTATATGGATTAATGTGCTAGAGGATGTTGCTGGAATGGCTAGAGTCAGAGAGAATTAAACTGGAAAGTGTTAAAGTGTGTGATAAAGTTGAGGAGATAGTCATGCTCCCTGATGGATTTCCAGGAGTGAAGGTTATGGGAGATATGTCAAGCATGTTTGCTTGACTTTAGGGAAAAGCTAGGAAAGTATAATATAAGTAAAAGCAAATTGGTGGTGGTGGAGCCTTAAAACCAAGGAGAGGAGTTTTCAGTTGGTTGAAGCAACAGTTGCAAGTGTAGATGGTTTTCCTTTTTAATTAAAACCGTTATCATGTGATAGGTAAAGCCCAGAAAAATACAGAACACAAATTCCCTATAGCCTCTCTGTCTACACTTATAATTTTCTTTAGAAATACAAAATTCAAGATACATTATACTATATAGTTGTATGTCTTCATATTTTCAGTTAATATTACCATGAAACAGTTTTCTCATGTGAATAAGTATTGTTTGAATAGGCTTCCATGGAATGGATAGGCTATAATTTTTTTTTTTTTTTTTTTTTTTAGAGACAGGGTCTTGCTCTGTCCCCCATGCTGGAGTGCAGTGGCCCCATCGTAGCTCACTGCAGCTTTGAACTCTTGGACTCCAGGGATCCTCACCTCAGCCTCTGGAGTGGCTAGAACTACATGCGCATGCCACTACACCTGGCTAATTTAAAAAAAAAATTTTGCAGGAACAAGGTCTTGCTGTGCTATTACAGCCTGATCTCAAACCCTTAGCTTCAAGTGCTTCTCCTGCCTCAGCCTCCCGAAGTGTCGGGATTACAAGTATGAGCCACCACACCTAGCCAGATAGGGTGTAATTTTCTTTAATCATTCCTATTTTGACACTTCCAGTATTTTTTTTTTCTGTTTATGAATTACAAGGACTGGAGATTTAAGTACTGAAGTGAACAAGATGCCAGTAGCCTGTCTCTTTGCAGGCATAGATTGAAGAGTTGAGAAAACTGAAATTGTTTGTTCAGTTTTTTCATTTTGAAAGTGATGAAAAATATTTTTATTTATAGAACATTACAGAAAATTCAAAAGATATAAAAATTTAAAAATTATCTTAACTACTGTTTGCTTCTGCATTTTTTTCTCAACTCATATAATGTTTATTTAGATAGCTTTAAGAATTCAACTAACTGGAAGAGATAAATTATAAAAGATTGGGGACAAATATCTGAGGGGTGAGAAAAACAATTTTTTGAAAGGTAGTAGGATTTCTTTTCTTCAATCAACCAACAATTATGTTTGAGTCACTTTTGTACCTGCATCAAATTGTTCTGAGCGCCCGTTCTACATATTTTATTTTATTTTTATTTATTTAGAGACCAAGTCTTACTGTATTGCTCAGGCTGAAGTGCAATGGTGCGATCTTGGCTCACTGCAACCTTTGCCTCCCAGGTTCATGTGATTCTCCTGGCTCAGCCTCCTTAGTAGCTGGGATTACAGGGGTTTGCCACCACACCTGGCTAATTTTTAAAGTATTTTTGGTAGAGATGGGGTTTTACCATGTTAGCCAAACTAGTCTCAAACTCCTGATCTCAGGTGATCCACCTGCCTTGACCTCCCAGAGTGCTGGGATTACAGGCATGAGCTATCGCACCTGGCCATACTGTGTATTGTAGTCACTGTTATCTACATTAGCAGTATCTTGCCAGTAGCTCTGAAGAGTATTTTAATGATCATGACTGAAAAATTTCAATGTACTGTTGTCTCCCCTGTCCATAACTTCACTTTCCACAGTTGCAGATGTGAGGTCAATTGCAGTCTGAAAATATTAAATGGAAAATTCCAGAAATAATTAATAAGCATTACATTTTAAGCTGTTCTAAGTAATGTGATGAAATCTCATTGTGTCCTACTTGGGATGTGAATCATCCTTTTGTCCAGTGCATCCATAGTGTATATCCTTCCTGCCCATTAATCACTTAGTAGCTATCTTGGTTATCAGATTGAAAAAAAACAGCATATAAAGGGTTTGCCTCTATCCATGGTTTGAGGCATCCACAGGGGTCTTGAAACGTATCCCCTGTGGAGAAGAGGGGACTACTGCACAAATGGAATGTTGACGAGAAGAGATTGTGACTTGTGGTTGAATGTTCTGTATACTTGTAGAAAAATTGCTTGCATACATAGGCATTCCTTAGAGATATTGTGGGTTCAATTCAGACAACCACAATGAAACAAGTGACAAACTTTTCTGGTTTTTCTGTGGATATAAAAGTTATGTTTACACTATATTATTTATACTATACTCATGTATTAAGTGTGCAATAGCAGTTTATCTAAAAATGTTTATACCTTAATTAAAAAATACTGTACTGCTAATGCTAACACAGGAAAGACGTGGGCACATGCTGTTGGAAAAAAGATACTGATAGACTTGCTTGACACAGGATTGCCACAGACCTTCAGTTTGTAAAAATGCAATATTTTCGCCGGGCGCGGTGGCTCAAGCCTGTAATCCCAGCACTTTGGGAGGCCGAGGCGGGTGGATCACGAGGTCAAGAGATCGAGACCATCCTGGTCAACATGGTGAAACCCTGTCTCTACTAAAACTACAAAACATGAGCTGGGCATGGTGGCGCGTGCCTGTAGTCCCAGCTACTCAGGAGGCTGAGGCAGGAGAATTGCCTGAACCCAGGAGGCGGAGGTTGCGGTGAGCCGAGATCGCGCCATTGCACTCCAGCCTGGGTAACAAGAGCGAGACTCCGTCTCAAAAAAAAAAAAAAAAAAAAAATGCAATATTTTCAAAGTACAGTAAAGCAAAGCTCGGTAAAATGAAGTGTGTCTGTATTTTACCTCTAGCTCCTTAGCAGTTTTCAAGGCAAAAATGGCACTGGAGAGCTGTCATTGCATATCTATTGAGTTCTCATCAAAAGTATATCTATAGGTTCTTCACTAAAGGGGCTTTTCTTAAAAGAAAAAAATCTTGGCTGGGCGCAGTGGCTCATGCCTGTAATCCCAGCACTTTAGGAGGCCGAAGGGTAGATCACAAGATCAGAAGATCAGGACCATCCTGGCCAACGTGGTGAAATCCAGTCTCTACTAAAAATACAAAAATTAGCCTGGCACCGTGGCACATGCCTGTAATCCCAGCTACTTGGGAGGCTGAGGAACAAGAATTGCTTGAACTGAGGCTGCGGTTGCAGTGAGCCAAGATTGCGCCACTGCACTCCAACCTGGGTGACAGAGCAAGACTCTGTCTCAAAAAAAAAAAAAAAAAAAAAAGAAAATCTTTAGGATTAGTAAAATGTTTTATGGTGTTTTTCAGATAAGTCAAGATAAAGTGAGACTATATCAAACATGTTAATGTTATATTGTGCATTGACTTGTCCAAGGTGGTCTAGTAAATGTCTATAAGAGCAAGATTAAAAGGAAAATGTAGACAGGGTGGGAAATGATGGTATTTATTTATTTTTGAGGTAGTTTAGAGTTGAGAGGAAGGTTAGGCATGTTATCGGTGTTTGCAGGATGATACCTTCTGACCCTTATCTTACCCCTCCAAAGAACTTTCTGAAAAATTTAAAAGGAAACTTGGTAATATCAGTTTTTTAATTAATAACGTGATTGTACAGTATACAATCTTGATTATACAGTATACAATCTTATCTTCTGCCTATTTTTCAAATCTTGGACTCATCAAAAGTAGCACTGGCCACATGCAGTGGCTCACACCTGTAATCCCAGCACTTTGGGAGGCCAAGGTGGGAGGATTCCTTGAGGCTAGGAGTTTGAGGCCAGATTGAGCAATATAAGGAGACCCTGTTTCTACAAAAACTTTTTTTTTTAAAAAGTGAATGCTGTCCAGGTTTTTTTATTTTTAGTGTCTAATTTACTGTTGCTCTTAAAAAGTTCACTGAAGGAGAAGTTTTAAACCCTTATCATTGTCTTTTTCTTTTTTTAGAGACAGGTTTTCACTTTGTCCAGGCTGGTCTTGAACACCTGGCCTCAAGCAAGCCTCCCTGCTCAGCCTCTGGAGTAGCTGGGATTACAGGCACAAGTCTCTGGCAGTAAATTTAAAAAAAAAATCTTAAACATGTAAAGTTGCAGAAGCCAAATGGAAATGTTTGGATTCACAAGACTATGGTTTTACGTTATATCCGTCTTGATAAATGGAAATGGCTGTTCAAAATGCTAAAGATTTTGCTTATATTATCTTGTTACAGATTTGACATTTTAATTTGGTATATGTATGGCAGACTAATTATTAGGTACATTAGCTGATGAGCTTATCAGGGATCACTTCAACATAACGAGAAGTTCTTATGCTTTCTGTTTTCAGTGGACTGTGGAAAAATCAAATACTAGATTATGTAACACTTGCTTGTGGTATTACCTTTATTTCCAACAAATATATTCCATTCTTCATTATTTCATTTTCACTAAAGAAAAATTAAAACTGCGACCTGTAAAGAGAGTTGTTAAATCTAGTGTATCAGTTGTCTTTTATTTCATTGAATAAATTGACATTTCTAATGTTATCCTTATAATTTACTAATTTAGGATTCATAGGATTAAACAGCAGTAGAGGTTTTCCAGGATTGTGTAGTGATATAGTTCTATTAATATGTCATTAATTAGGTTGGGCACAGTGGCTCACACCTGTACTGTAATCCCAACACATTGGGAGGCCAAGGCAGGTGGATCGTTTGAGGCCAGGAGTTCAAAACCAGCCTAGCCAACATGGCAAAACCCCATCTCTCCTAAAAATACAAAAATTAGCCGGATGTGGTGGTGCACACCTATAATCCCAGCTACATGGGAGGCTGAGGCACGAGAATCGTTTGAGCCTGGGACGGTGAGGTTGCAGTGAGCTGAGATCACACGTCTGCACTCCAGCCTGGATGACAGAGAGAGACTGTCTCAAAAAAAAAAAAAGTTTCCATTAATTAAAGACTAGCAAATAGCCTGTTACTTCTCTTTTGTTAAATTTTATCCATTTTCTCACTTCTCAAGTTTACTGAAAGATCTAAGTAGTTTGTGATACTCAATGCTGATATAATTACTGTACTGTCTTAACTCAGAAATCAAGATTTTGTTATTTTAAAGCACAAACTCAAATAATCAGGAATTTCTTACTGTGTGTTAAATAAGTTGAAATGGGATTTGGTAATATGTTTTGAAAGGTCCATGTTTATCTTTCTTAATTATGCTGCATATTATTCCTTAAAATTCATACTTGGCTTTTTTTTTTTTTTTTTTTTTTTTTAACAAAGTCTCGCTCTGTCACCCAGGCTGGAGTGCAGTGTTGTGATTTCGGCTCACTGAAACCTCCATCTCCAGGGATCAAGCGATTATTTTGCTTCTTCCTGTCGAGTAAATGGGATTACAGGTGCATGCCACCAGGCCCAGCTAATTTTTTTGTTTTTAGTAGAGATGGGGTTTCACCATGTTGGCCAGGCTGGTCTAGAACTCCTGACCTCAAATGACCTACCCACCTCTGCCTCCAAAATGCTGGGATTATAGGCGGGAGCCACTGTGCCCGGCCTCATACTTATTAATTGTACCTTATTAATTGATTACAAAGTGTATGCCTATATGTGTGTATGTAGGTATATGATACATAGTTAATTGTAAACTTTACCAAAACATGTAATACTGCTTTGTACTGTTTAAAATCATGCAATAAATAAGAGTTATTAAGGAGAAACAGCTCACCTGAGCACAGGATTGCATATTAGTGTTGGCTTATTAGATTCTCAAGTCATTTTTATCTGTTTTTTTGTTAAACTAAAAATCTTTTTAAATTATAGGGGGAAAAAAATAGTGGCTTTGATGTCCTGTACCATAATATGAAACATGGACAGATATCGACAAAAGAACTAGCAGATTTTGTAAGAGAACGGTATGTATTTTTTAAATAAGTAATCTGTTTAACAACTTAATAGCAATTTAAATTTTAGAGTATAAATAATTGAGAACATTTTATTTGGATTTGGAATAAAGTAATCAAGGCACACTTGTTTTAATATATATACTGTAATTATATCTATTTGTAACTGTCATCTGCATACCACAGGGCTATATAGTGGCTCGAAGTGACACTGTTAAATCCCTGGTTTGCAGATTTCTGCTTGAAAATATCTACATATTTTTCACTGCATATGCTAGCAAGATGATGTAATACAACTGAGGAGTGTGTAGGATAAAGTATTAACATTTGTTAAACAAACATGGTAAAATAATTAGAAAAGACTTTTCTGATCTTCAGCTTAATTTTATGTTTTTATAACTTTTAGTTTTAAAAGTCCTAAGTATATATTTTAAAATCTTACAAATTTATAAAATGTGCTTGTCTTTAAGACTCTTAGAATAGCAAATTTAAAAGTTATTAAGAATAAATATAATTTGATTATGATTCAAAATCAAACAGAACTCAAAAGCTGCTAACCTACTAACTTAAAGCTATTTTGTGGCTACCCCAACTTTATAATTATTTATATGAACACCTTTAAAATATTTACCTTGATAATATAGGGATACTTTGCCTTTAATAGTCTATTTATTTATGTATTCTTTCAACAATATATATCCCATTACTGCTGTGTACCAACCAGGTACTTGTCTGGATTATGGGAATATGGTGGTTAAGATACAGCTTCTCACTTCATGGAGCTAACAGATTAGTAGGAATTGAGGATAAACTATTATGTAAGCCCAATTCTTTTCTTGTTTCCCCCTCTCTACTGGAATCAATAAGGAATGCAATAAAGCTCAAGTGCTCTGGGTAAGGCTTTCGCTCCTCGGGGCTTCTACATCTTCATTGGCAGGACTAAAGGAAAGGCTGCAGAACTCTGCATCTCTTGGCATGTTCCTTAGCCTTCCCTCTTCCCCAACACCACTACTATCACTATCTGCTTTAGAACTATCGGGGCAGATATTCTTACGCCTTTTAGCCCTGTTTATGTTAGTCACTGTAAGAAGTCCAGGACTCCTGGGTCATCCCTCCTTTGCCCAGAATCTATCCCTTTCTGATTCTTTGGGCAGTGAGACATTCCTTCCTTCTAATTCCCCTTTACTACTTTGTTTTTCTCCATAGTGTGTATAACCATCTGATAAAAGTGACATTTCACTTGTATATTTTTCTGTCTCTTCCTACTAGAATATAAACCCAACAAAGGCAGAGATTTTTGTCTTTTTTTTGCTTATTTTGTCTTTTTGCTGTATCTATGCACTTGTGATAGTGCTTGGCACTTGGTAGGCCCTGAGTAAAGGTTTTTCCGTAGAATAAGTCTCTAATTTCATTATGCTTATCTCAACTATCATTATTTTTGCCTGAACTTCAGCAGTCACTACTAACTGCTCTATATACGTTCATTCTTGTTTTCCTACAGCTTACTCTCTATGCTGTAGTTGGATTGCTTTTTTTGAACTGTAGTACAGATCAGTTTGTTACTTCTTTCAGCCATCTCAAGGGCTTCTCATTGCTCTTAAGATAGGCCTACATTGTCTGACCCTCTAACTACCTTTCAAGCCTTGTTGTTCCAGGTTCTCTGCTAGTTGTGGGATACAACAGAATATTGTCTCACAGGAGAACATAGAAACAATTAACAAAAACGAATAATAACAAAACTGCATACATAGTACAAAGAGATATATGAATTACAGCCTGCTCTTTATTCTTTCCACTCCAGAGATACTGGGTATCTTATGGACAGGCTTCCTCTGTCTAGTCCAGGCTTTGTAAATGCTTATTCTTCTCTTTACCTAGTTAATGCCTACTTATTCTTTAGAGCTCAGCAATGTGGTCACTGCTCAAAGGATGCCTTTTCTAATCTCTCTGACTATGTCAAAACACCTATTATAACCTTTTGCTACATCACATAGCTCTTTGTAGTATTTATAAAATTTGATAATTATTTATTTTTGTTATTTGTTTTTATGTTCCTCTGTAAAACAGTATTCATTTGTATCCCAGTGGTTAGCACAGTCCCTGACACAATAAGGTAATCACATTTCTTGAAGGACTGAATGAGAAAGGAAAAAATGTAAACTTTATGTATATTATCCGATTGATTGATTGATTTGAGACAGTGTCTGGCTCTGTTGCCCAAGCTGGAGTACAGTGGCTTCATCTTGGCTCACTGCAACCTCTGCCTTCTGGGTTCCTCAGCCTCCCAAGTAGCTGGGATTATAGGCATGTGCCATCATGTCTGGCTAATTTTTGTATTTTTCTCTTTTCTTTTTTTTGAGACAGAGTCTCACTCTGTTACTCAGCCCAGGCTGGAGTGCAGAGGTGTGGTCATGGCTCACTGCAACCTCTCTGTCCTGGGTTCAAATGATTCTTGTGCCTCAGCCTCCTAAGTAGCTGGGACCACAGGCATGTGCCATCACACCTGGCTAATTTTTGTATTTTTTGCAGAGGCGGGATTTCCCCACATTGGCCAGGCTGGTCTCAAGCTCCTGACCTCAAGTAACCCACCTGTTTCACAATGTGCTGGGATTACAGGTGTGAGCCACCATGCCTGACCCATTATCTCATTAACTTTCAAAATTATAGTCCCATTTTACAGATGAGAAAATTGGGACCTAATTTAAGTCAGTCATTCAGACTTTATTTCTCCTTTTCCCTCCTCTCCTTCCTTCCACACTTACATTTCTCCCTTTTTCCCTTTCTTCACTTCCTCCTAAGAGCTTTATTGAGGTATTGTCATGAATAAACTGCACGTATTTGAAGTATACAATTTGATACATGTTGACATCCATATACTTTCTGAAACCATCACCACAATCAGGATATGTATTAATAATCCCCTTTGTAATTTCTTACTCCGGTCCTTCTCTCCCTCCCCACCCATAAGCAGTAACTGCTTATGGGTGGGGATGGAGAGATTTTCTTCTGACACTTAGGTTAGTTTGAATATTTTAGAATTTTTTATAAATGGAATTGTACTGTATGTATAACAATACAAAAAAAATGTGTAATTGTATGTATTACAATCCACCTGCCTTCACTCAATACAGTTATTTTGAGATTTACCCACATTGTTGCATGTATCAATAATTTTTTCATTTTTATTGTTGTGTACAATTTATGGATATGTGATAATTTTTTTTGTTCATTGAAGGAAGTTGTACCCATTTTTGAACTTGATGTGAAGTGTATATTAATTCAGCCATGCAGTAGGAGTTCTTTTGTCTGACTTCTGTTGCTTATTACTGTTTGTAATTTGTATTGCTGAGTTTAGTGATAGTTCACTTATAGTGCTATATAATATTAGATTGTATAAATATATCAAAATGTCTTTACTACTGTTAATGAGTATTTGTGTTGTTTCCAGATTTTTATTTTTGGTGTTTTTTTTTTTTTTAACTTTATTTTTTAAGAGCAGTTTGAGGTTTCACTCAAACAATATTGAGAGACAGGTGTAGAACACTGCCTCTACATGCAGTTTCCTTCATTGTCAACATCCCTACCAGAGTGGTACGTTTGTTACAAATCATGAACCTACATTGACACATCATAATCAAGCAAAGCTGTAGTTTACTTTAGGGTTCATTCTTGGTGTTGTATATTCTGTGGGTTTGGACAAATGTGTAATGACATGTATCCATCACTACATATGATATTTTCACTGCCCTAAAAAATACTCTGTGCTCTGTCTTTTCATTCCTCTTCCAGGCCCCAGCAACCACTGATCTTTTTACCGTCTTCACAGTTTTACCTTTTTCAGAATGTTGTATAGTTGGAATCCTAC